TGCGTCAGCCATGGTACAAATTTCTTTTGCTGAATCTCAAATGAAGTTGCTGATGACTTCTGTAAGTCTTGGATGCTAAGAAAAAAAGAATTCCATATTTATATATGCAGGTAAATCTATCCAGAAGATTCACCGATAACTTTGGGAACACTAAAAATTCATTTGGAATACTAAAAGCCACATTGAAAAAAAATGAAAGTACTCTCTCAACACATTCATTCACTTGTTTTATTTTTTCAAAGTTTCCTACCTAAACCTTCTTATGTTGCATATTAGTATGTGCTATATATTGTGGTTACGTGGAATCTGAGTAATTTTTAGAAAGATTTAATTATGGAATATTTAATTATTGAAAATAATTTTCCGACACCGCTTCACTAAAATATAAATATCTCCTAATAGATGGGAATATGAGAATGAAATTGGTATTATTGGAAAGAGGACGAAAAATCCTTAAATTTGAGCTTAAGAATGACCCAATTTCGATTTACGATGACTGTTTAAATTTCGGGTAACAAAACAGACAAAATAATAGGCTGAGCTCAATCGCTATTGTAAGCGCGACTGCACCGGATCATTTCAATGTTGACCAGAAAAAGTCAACGGTCCAGATCTGAGTGTGCACCACTCTCCATGGTCTGCGCTACACCAGATGACTTCCTTGTTGACCAGACCACTTCTATGGTCCAGATGACCATGCGCACCAAAATCCAATGTGCAGTACCACACAGAATCATCCATCCTCATCAGAACTATCCAAGGGCCAAGATCTGCGTGTGCATGGTAACACAATACATCACGCCAAACTGGATTGTATTCCTATTGATGCGACAATTCCACAGACGCCGGTGTATATATAGATATATATATATATATATATATATATATATATATATATATATATATATATAAACAGTATATATATGTATATATAATTTCCAAACAAATAATAAGAAAATAAATCTAATAAATTCCAAAAAAATACCTAAAAATTCCAGAAAAATATCAGAAATTCCAGAAACCATAATTAACCTAAACTTTTGATACTCAATGTGAAATTGTTATGAGTTCTAAGAAAAAAGATAGAGAAAAACTCGCCTGAAGGTTTCGAAACGAACCTGACACCTTAAGCCTTGATTGTCTTGATTGTCTTTTTCAATTTCGACGTTCTCTTCCAGCTTCTTCCTTGTCAACCCTTCTTTTCTTCTCTCTCCGTGAAAAATCTTTTAACCCTAAAATTTTATGTGTATATTTATACACATTAATACCCTAATCCTATTCCTATTATGACTATCGAATAAAATAATAAAAATGATAATCTTTATTTCATACATATATTATATTATAAATATTTATATATATATATCCATAAATCATCTACTTTCAGCTATGCCGCTCTGCTACAATCAAGTCTGTTAAAAACACTGCATTTGTTGTAATTTGTGACATCAATAGGATGTTCTCCATTGGTGCCTTCTCAAGTAGGGGAATGGCAACGTCCAAACTTGACTGGAACAAACCGAGCTTTACTCTGTTTGATCTAGATGCATTGCTCATCAATGGTACTTCCTTCCACAACTTTTATTTTTCATTATATATTTGGTTGCATTCCATTGGTAAGCTAAATCAGAACATGGACAAGGTGCCAAGTCAAAAATCAAGGTTAACTTACTGATGCAATAACTTAAATAAGATTAGTAGAAAAATTTTAATTTTTATTTGACAATTTAGAGCCCAAAGTGACACAAATATCGATTTCAAATTCACTCATAGTTAAGCACCCATGTGTTACAGAAACACATACATTTAATAAATATTGGGACTGCTCAACAATTTGATTTCAATAAAAGCTGTAATACATGAATTAAGGTCTTCTGTATCAATATTACCAGGTATAAAGAGATGTACCCTTCCCCATTTCTTTTCTTATTTCCATTTGGGTATAAACACAATTTCCTGAAATCCCAAAATACATAGATATGATTAATTTAGTCTAAACATAGAGAACATAGATAGATTGAACTGTGTAAGGAAAAAATAAAAAAGTTCAAACGCACCATTTATAGCCACCAGCCCCAAAATCATCTGTTTCATATTTTTCGGTTTTGGTTTCCAGAAGCGTTGAGAAAGACTCTTATCTTGAATATGTAATGTGATGGTTTAACATCACGCAATGATCTTTTAACTTTTGCTTCAGATTCAACACAAATATTAACATGACCGGAGCTACCATTGTATATAAAATCATGTAAAGGAAAAATAAACTCAGTCGACCTCCAATGTTAAACTCCCCAGAGTAAAGTTCGTTACTTAATGCTGAAAAATGATCAACCATCCAAGTGTAAGTACTGTGTCGCTCATCTTTGCCTGCAAATTTGATAACGAAAACCTCCGCTCCAAATACACACGTATCGTCTAGGAGGTACCCATTTGAAGGATTTTGGAACTTTTCGAGAGAGAAAAATTTCTCAAAACTCCATTCAGTCTTCATAATGTGGAAGCACCTGCATGTACATATCTATCTATTTAAATATTATGATGCTATAGCAGGTTTCAAAAAAAAAATTAACCACGGTTAAATATTTGTCACGTATGTGTTCATGATACTAGCAACTGTAAATGTTTATCACAGCCAGAAAAAGTAAACATTTCCTCAAAAAATAAATGGTGGGGCAAAAAATGTTATGATTCATAATATACAAAACTTTTTATATGTTTCACATGCATTTTGAACCCTTAACGCTTCGGCTCTATTTGACATGTGTTTTGTTTCTACTGTTTATGTTTTTGGATTGCTATAATGTTGATTTTAATAACAAAAGCATATTTGGTGTAGCTTTATTTTATTTTACACAGTGTTAAAATACTTCGTGAAGTGCCCAAAACCAAAACACCAAAAAGTAATTTTTTCTTGTTTTGACAATTATTCATGGTCCAAAACCATAACAGTAGCATAATATGAGCCTGACATTTCTACAACAAAATATCGTTTACAAACGTGCTTCTAATTTTTTTTCAAAACACTCTTACAAAAAAAACACTGTTTCTGTTTTAGCCAAAAATAAAATGTCTAAAACAACCCTTAATTAACAAAAATGACCTTAACAAACGATCACATACCATTTACATATGGTTGCATACTGTCAATGGATTTTTTTAATTTTATTTATTTATTTATTTATTTTTCTTCTAAAGTTATTGTTGGAAAAAAAAAAAAAACACTAGTAGTAGTAGTAATACAACTCTGCATTGACCATTCAAAAAAAAAAACAGAAAAACCCCGAATGGTCATCAAACTCAGAACCAAAGACTGGTGCCAAATTAAAGCCTTCATCTTCTTCTAGCTGCTGCTATATAACACGACACAGCGCCCATGATCACCGTCAATGCAAGGGAACTAACGTTGTCGAAAATGGCCGAAAAGCGCATTTCTTGCAGCTCCCAAAGAGTTGATACACACAGACGCAGCCCATCAAGAATCACCAGCAACATAGCTCTTTATTTTTGCAACAACTAATTCTATAGCACTTCACTTCATAACAGAATAATAATAATATATATATATATATATTTAGAGAGAGAAAAAATAAGAAAAGGAAAGACACATGAAACTTCGTGAACTTACTTTTAAAACAAGTGAGGAATCAGATCGAGGTATGAAGTGAGACTGAGATTTGAGTACGTACATTGTTGTTTTGGAGTTTACTTCTGTACTATTTTTGCATGTTAGATGTATCTATATATATATATATATATATATATATATATAGGGAGATAGAAGAAGTTAATTTGTGAGGTTTCGAGGATGCTTCCTCTCATCATTAGCAAAGGTGGTGTGTCATGAATCAGTGTGGGGTCTCTTTGAAAATAAAACAAAGGCTGTGTCCTGAAATTTTAACTCATTGTGAGGTGAGGCCGAAAATTAAATGAAGTCCAATTCTAGCAGTTATATTCCTACCGAACCATGAAATAGACTTTTAATTTTTGTTTTTTTAACTTAAAAATTCATTCAATTTAGTGCATGTCACGTTTAAAAACCGTGCATCAAATAAAATTCTAAATTAACTGATTGAATGTTTGTAGAAGTTTATTGAAATATTTAAGTGTCACAATTTTTTTTTCTTATGTTATATTTGATTAAAGTTATTTTTGTCAATCGCTAAAAATTTTAGATGGTATAAAAAACACTTTATGTCATAGACTCGTGATAGAGTTAAATTTACATGATTTGATTTGAGTGGGAGTGGTGCTACAAAGTCGATGATTTCAACATAGTTGTCATGAATTCTCTATTAAATTATTTAACAAAACTTGAATAAAAAATAATAATAAACGAATTATAAATATTACATTGTATAATAAATAAATAAATAAAAATAAAAATATTAGCCCATAATACAATATATTAAAATTATACGAAATTGTGAAAGATGGTACTGTACTCAATTTGATAGAATGAATACTTTTGGTAAAAAAAAAAAAAAAAATTATTAGATAAAATCAAAAGAAAAAAAAAAGCCAAACAGGCTAGGTATTCTTCTGTAATAAACAATTGGGATTCACGATGAAGATCATCTCTTACTTATATTACAACAATCTAAACATATCTTACTTATACTACAACAATCTAAACATATCCACCTAACTCCAAATGCATCCTATACTGCAACAATCTAAACATATCTCTAAATGCATCATAATTTACAGCGAAGATCTTATCTTCTCTATATTTCTAATACAATAGCCTATGCATAACTCTAAAATTTTGTAGTACCTAAAAAAAAATAATTCGTGTCATTAACTAATTGAATTAAATCACATCAAAACAAATATCTTACTTTAATGATACATGTCATTAATACAATGAGGTTAATAAAATATTTTTCTTGGCGCGTGTTCGCGTGTGACTTGGCAGGGCGTGACAATAGGCTCACCTGCAACACTTTCCAAAAAGGCGCGTGAACTCTACACAATTCGAATGATCTTTTTCTTTTTTTCTTTTGGATTCGAATGATTGTGGAACTCCTTCTCTAACGAAAGATTTCAGAAGTTGAACAGTGATTCGGAAAAGCGCGCACACACACATATACACACATATATAAGTATATATATATATATAGAGAGAGAGAGTCGCAAGGATCATCAACTTGGAACCCTGGATGTATTTTGTTTGAGGGATTCAATTCAATGGGGTTATGGGAAGCTTTGCTTGATTGGCTACGAAGGTAATTCAATCTTTGCGGAGTTATGTTGGTTGATTCAACCTTCTATTTCCAATTGGCAGTAATTTCAATTTATTTTTTATTTTTCAGTCTCACTCTATATTTAATGACTTCAATCCAACACATGGCTTGATGGGTTTGTTGATACTGCTGAATTTTCTATTCTTTTGTCTTTGTTCTGACAATTTGTTGAATAAAGTCTTTGATTTGAGGTGTTTAGACTCTGAATTTATTCTATGTAATAAATAAATAAATATATATATATATATATATAGGTAGAGGTTATGACTGTGGTTTTGGTACTGTGATAGTTGACTCAATTTGGTCTTTAGTTGTAGACCCTTTATATATTTTATATGTATTTGACAATTTTGTTGAATAAAATCATTGATTTGAGGTGTTTAGATTCTGACTTTATCATATATATAGGCAGAGGTTAGGATTGTATTTTGGTGCTGTGATGGTTGACTCAATTTGTTCCTTGGTTTAAGTAATACATGGATGGGATGCTATTTCAGGATTGGACAGTGTTATAATAACCATTGGCCTTATGGCTAACATCTCCAGATCCACCCCTTTAAATATATTTTTTATCTCTAATGTAGCTTGCTAACTCTCTGAGTAAAGGGCTTGAAGGTTGAAGAAACCGGATCGTAGTTGCAACAAACAGTCATACAGAAGTTGACTGATTTATAGGATATGGCCACATTATCAACTTGCCATTGTGTTTGCCTCACTTAGTTGGACCAACTATGCTTGCAAGCTCATGCATTAGTAGGTGGTTAGTTTACCAAGTTCTTACCTTTGTTTCAGTTGGCTAGTTTTATGTTAACGTATGATCAATTTCTAGTTTTGTTAAAGATTGGCAGAATCGAGATTCATATATGATTGGTAAGATGTACGGAGGATCAGATTAGGGATCATAGCAATCTATGAGATGGGAAGATACTATGTAAAATGGATATACGTGTGTCTAAAATTCTTAGAGATTTTAAAATATCAAAAGTGGAGAAAATTTTCCGACCATCACTAAGTGAGTCCCACCTTTGCGGTTGCTATGGAAATTTTTTAAAAAATAGAAAATTGAGATCTAAGGGGCCTTGTTTCAGGGAGTTCTGGGTCATCAAAAAAAAAAAAAAAAATTAAGTTATCTTTTCATGTATTACAACAGAGAAAATATTAAGAATATGATATTGTTTTTATAAAGAAGACTATTAGTTCTGAATCTTGACATTTCCCTTTTTATTTTAGAAGGTAAATGCGAAATGCAGTTTGGAGATTGTGTCTTTATAATGAATGGAGTTTCATCAGTAGAGATTAAAATGCTCTAAATACTATTTCTTTAGTGAACAAAGTAATTTATAAGTGGAATTTCATCAGTAGAGATTAAAATTCTCTGAATACTATTTCTTTAGTGAACAAAGTCATTTACAAGAATGCAGATTTTTTTAAAAAAAATTTATTTTAGATTTTGCAGTCTATTTATTCTATTGAAGGTAGATGTGTTAGCAGTTATAATTGCTTGAAGGTGGAAGTTGTGTAATGTGCTTAAGGTTGTGGTAGATAGGCATCGTCTTAATTCTATTTGACCCAACTAGAAGAAAATTTGAACAGGAAAATTATGACTCTTGACCGCAGGAGTCATATCCCGAATGTAAGATCTTGCTGATCCTAATGTCTTTGAAAGATTGTCATTGACCAGGGAGTGTTGATTGGAAATCGGATTAAAATGTATGGGATAAAATCGAGAATCATAGGTTTTCCCAATGATAAGTTTAGCAGCAATTATTTCAATATACTAGTGACAACTGACAAAGCAGGATGATGGGAGTAATAAAGTGTAGTAGCTTTTATGGAGGAAAGGCAGGGATGTGGTGGTGACACTAATGTTGAAATTTCGCCGGTGACAGTGGTCGAGATAAGTGATACCAGTAGGGTTGTGGGCTGGTCTGTAATGGGTGCATTTGATGCAACAACTCCTGAGTAGCAGTTGAGATGGTATTGTTTATGTGAAACAATTTATTGCTGTGACTGACATTGAAGTGGCAGTGATGATGGGACAACAGTAGTGGTGGTGTTGCTGAGCAGGACTGTAGTACCAGCGGCAGTTGGGAATGGCAGTGGTAACACTCAACACAATATGGAGGTGATGTTGGAAACACAGTGCCGGGATTGTTAATGGGAGAGTTTGTTTTATAGACTGGAACAACTGAAATTATGCTCATGAATTGGTAAATCCTGCGAGGGGAAGAGCAACTAATAGTTTATGCAATAGTATAATTGTATTGATCTTCTTGTTAATACGTTAGTGTTGATTATGTTCTTCGATAAATGATGACACTAGTGCTGAATCAGTACGTAATTTTTTTGGGGCACCCACGCCATGTTATCAGAATTTTGGCATATCTCTATTTGTTATGTTTTCAATTTCTTCTGTTGTCACCCTGTGACATACAAGGGTTAGTTTTCTTGGCACTCAAAGATTGGGTTCAAATAATTTATTGCACACCTAGGAAACGATCTTCAAATAAGCATTTGATTTTAGTCTGTTATTTTGTTTCTGTGGACTGTTGGTGAATTGTTGAATTATATAGTCCAGTATGAGTGTCCAGTAACATGCACATGGTTAGGTTGGCTACAAAATGAATTTTTTGTTATAAACATGTCTCTCCATTGTACCTACCTCGGAGTTCACTCATATGGTGAACTGTTTTTCGCTGTTAGTTTCTCAGTTTTATGTTGACTCATTGAGTGGGTTGTCAAGTTAATTATATTAATTTACTTTTGGAATAATATCTTTTGTTGATTGCAGCCTTTTTTTCAAGCAAGAAATGGAATTATCTTTGATAGGCCTTCAGAATGCAGGGAAAACATCACTCTTGAATGTTATTGCAGTAAGTCAATACTCATGGGAGATTTGAGATATTATTATCATTATTATTTGTTTTTATCATGTTTGATGCTAATACTGTGATATTGTTGCTGCACTTTCCAAGACTGGTGGATATAGTGAAGATATGATCCCCACGGTATGTAAACGTTTTATTCTATTTAGTTTTGCTCGAACATTACCATAAGCTACCATTTTGCATTAGATTCTGTAACTGGTAATGAATCGTTTTAATTTTTTGTCATTCAACCAATACATATCTCTTGGTCACAGGTTGGATTTAATATGAGGAAGGTTACTAGAGGGAGTGTGACAATAAAGTTATGGGATCTTGGCGGTCAACCCCGGTTTCGTAGTATGTGGGAGAGATATTGCCGTGCAGTTTCAGCCATCGTGTATGACTACTTTGCTATTTTCCCCTTGCATACAATTTAGTAATTCTCAAAACTATAAGATGATCATGAAATTTTAAATTTGCCTAATGCTGTGCCTGCCCTTTCTTTCTTTGAAGCTATAATTAGATTAACATAATAAGAAGCAAAAAGGAAAATTCAGGAACAAACAAGTGAAAATTATGAAAATTGTAAATTCCAAATCAAGCAATAATAACTAATGGAAGCCAGACAGACAGAAGTAGGAAAAGAAAGGATCATGGTGCACTGGATTGTCACTTTAAGTCTTTGAAGGTATAGGCTCCGTCTTCCGATTAACAAAATTTGCTTCTGCATAGCTGGTCTTGCAACAGTACAAAAGACTCATAATGAAGAGTCTTGGTAAGAAATCTATTGCAGAAAATGAGAGTTTTCTGAGGATCATCTATATATTTTTTTCAAGGTGAGGATCATATCAGAACTTGACAGCTAACAATAGAAAAGGAATCACTTTGAAGAATCACATGAATCGTTTTGTTGCAGGCGCCCTCCCTGAGTTTCCTAATAAACTTTCAATTTCTACCTTACTAATGTCTTCTGAACTAATCGAATTTAAATATGAGAGCTGATATTTTAAGATGGTCTTTCATGATTATCCCAATAACTAGGAAGCCCATGTCAAGACAAGGGCAATCAAAATAACCAGTGTAGTGTCTGCTGACTGAGTCTTGAATGAGATTGGATAGTTAAATAGGGAATCTAATTATATTAGTAGTTGTGGAAAGGGTGGAAGATACTGTATATAATATATGTACTTACGAGAGTCTCTGACTGCACCCGAAAAAGGGTGGAGATACAATCAGAATAAATAAAAATAAAAATAACAGAAATTATACAAGGCAGTACAAATCAGAGCATTCAACTAGCAAAGCAAGAAATCTCATAAACATTCTAATTTTAAAAGCATTTTTCCAACCGATGCAGACAGAAAATACTTTGTGGCAAACAAAAATACTTTGTCTTCTTATAGGTATGTACGAAGCACATTAGAGCACAATGCATGCTTCTTTACCTACGGAACATTGTCAAACTCTTGGTGACATATTCTCCAAAAAGGAGGCCAAGAAATGAATTATCTTGCACAAATTTTCCTTGTTCCTCTTCAATTTCAATGCTCTATTTATTCAGGATTGAGTTTATTAGTATATCTAGATTTGAGCTAAGGACATTTAAATAAAAGTAATTTCCTATTTGCATATTCTCGCATCTAGTATATTGAACCATATCCTTTCATTAATTAATATCAAGTTGGTAGAAACTATTACAAGCTCTGGAAAGTTAAATCTGATAGACAATCTGACTATTAAATTTCACAAAGAGTTGATTTGCAAATTCGGATGAGAGTTCATTTCAAACAAGCTCTAATTGAGCCAAAAACAAATAAACAAGTGATAAATAATTAGACAGAGAAATAAAACGCTAGTTTTACTAAAAATATGGCGTTACCGTTAAACATAAACTTTTATTTTAGTGCATTCACACTGCCTTTCACTTTTTAAATTTGAATCATCATATAGCTGCAGCAGGTTGTGGAAGACTAAAATTAATTGATTTTAGTTGCTACACCAGGTCTATGAGGTCTACGTGCCTTTCTTTATCATTGTTGTTCTGTGCACACTTCGAATTTCATAGTTGATTATTCAACAATGTATGGCAAATCAGTCATGATTCCCCTTTGCCACGGGCATTTGAAGTTTACTAGTGAGATGTCTTTCCTAATCAATGTGCCATCTTTTCTTTTTCTTCTCTGATGCAGTTATGTAGTGGATGCTGCTGATCCAGATAACTTGCCTGTCTCGAGAAGTGAACTGCATGACCTATTGAGTAAACCGTCATTGAATGGTATTCCTTTGCTGGTACTAGGTAACAAGGTCGACAAATCTGAAGCATTAACTAAACAAGCTCTAACTGATCAAATGTAAGTATAGATAACTTCATTTCCCCACTGTGATTTGCATTGTGATTGGAAGGTGTTGCTGTGTGGGGTGTCATGTTAGATTGTGCCTTCATGTTAAAGAAAAATTTGTGGCCGAACAAATGCTTGCTTTGTCAATGGTGTAATGTTTGTTTAGAACAGTTTTGCACCATGAAGTAGAGATTAAGAGAACTACGCGTTTTTCTTTTTGAAACTTCACAAAATCACAGGAATGCCGGTTCATTACATTGCCTGCCCCCTGGGTGATTGATTTGCTGTAAATATTCAATTTCTTGTTTTTAACCTAAGTAGAGAGAGCTGATACAATGACCCTTGTCCCGCCCCATTTTTCTGGTTTGCGGAATATTATATATATGGAAAATAATCGGTCCTAAGATAAGAATTTTGTTACTTTGTGCAGGGACCTCAAGTCTATTACAGAGCGGGAAGTCTGTTGCTTCATGATCTCATGCAAGAACTCTACCAACATTGATACAGTTATTGATTGGCTTGTAAAGCATTCGAAAGCCAAAAACTAAGTCACCATTTCCTTCAATTTTTGCATATTGCTTTTTCCCGGATTTTGTAAGGCTTGATTATTGGGCTGGCGGGGTTCTTAATATCTGACCATATTTCTTCTTCCTTCTTTTGCTTTTGCTTTTGTTGGCCCCCCTCCCCCTGTTGGAACCGGGACGTGATTTGAAATTCATACACTGATAGTATTCTTACTGGTGCATGAATGTGGTGTTTCTATGTTAAGGAAATGTTTACTGACATGATTTATAATTATTTTTTTTTTTTCGAAAGTACATAATTTATAATGTTGCTTATGACACATTCATATATTTTTCTTCTTCATTTTTATTTTTTATTTTTTAATTTTTTTTTTGGGCAAACTAGAGTGAGGGGGAGGGAGACTTGAATACGGGCACACCCGCTCAGGGATTTGGGTGCTCTACCAATTAGGTCACTCCTGACACATTCATATCTCGAAAATGATATTCCATGTTGTGTGCTGGAGTTGGAAACTGCTATTGAATGGTTGGTTGTATAATGAACTCTGCGAAAGTCTAGTGATCTGAAACTGAAACCTTGCTTAAGCTTGGGTTTCAAACTCGGTTGCAAACTTACAATTCTGCCAAGAGTTGGAATTACTACTTAATTTTTTTTTTTTTAAATGATCTGTATTTTAATTAAGAAAAAAAATATACTGTATAAATTAGGCTGTTTAACAACCCAGCATTAACAAGTTCAAACTTTTCAAGATAATGAGACCATCGACGAATTAAGTACATAGAGGCTTATAAAGTTGATACCATTATTGAAAGATATTTAGTTCAAATTTTAACTATTTATTTTTTCAATTTCAAATTTAAAGGTTGTAACATAAAAGTTAGAATGTTGTCACTCTCATCTAAAAAATGCATATGATAATTAACATATTATGATAAAATTAAGTTCTTGTTCCATATTATTAGTTTGTTGTCTTGACCTTCTACTTTTATTTAGTTCACGTACACACCCACGTGCTCATACGAGGACTTGAACCATAAATTTTCTATTTTAGAAGGTGAAGAAGTACTATTAGGCCATACTATTAGGCTATAACTTTTGGTAGTAGTTTTTTCGGCTTAAATTTGAAGGAGAATTTATGTCATTTTATTTCAAAATAATATATAAAAAAACTTTCTAGGAGTGCATTGTCTGCCCTCAATATGCATGATTTTTTTTTTTTGTTTTCTCCGTTTGATTCGTTGTTAAATATTTTTTTCAACTAAAATATATATTTTTATTTTTATTTTTTCGGTGCTTGACAAAGGTTTAGGTCAAGGTTGAGGTTGAATCCATCGGATAATACTTGTAAAATAACTTCTCGAAAATTAATGAATAAATTATTTTTGTTAGATTTTAATATTTTTTTCTTCGTAAATATTTTACAACAACCAAACACCAAAAGACATAAAAAAAATATTTTTCAAAAATTTTTTTATACTCAAACAAACAAATGAGTAACTGATCAATATTATTAATTAATAGATATTCTCTCTTTTAATTTTTTTCCCCTTGTCGTGACAAATAACTAGCACAAATTTGTCCCTACAAAGACTTCAACACTTTATTTTTTATTTTGTAAATTTTTTTTCATACTTTATTTTTTGCTTTGGAAGTGTGAAGAATGACCGAATTAACGCTCTTGGTGATTTTTTATTTTATTTTTTATAGTGATAGTTGAATATAGTATAAAGAGTTGTTTTACATATTTGAAAAGGGTTGTGATATTCTTCACTCATTTTGTGCATTATAATTACCCTTCAAAATTGAATTGCAAGAATACATTTTAGAATAATTATTGAGTATTTATAGTATTTACTTGATGCCATTTACTTAAGGAATTTTTTTTTGTTAAGCTACAATATAAAAGTGAAGTGAAAATTAATATCATTTATCATATAAATAATATGATTAGAAAATTAGTTTATTTTGGATTTACTTCCATTTGTTCATTTAAAGAATACAAGAAGAGATTTAATAAGCTTTATTTTGTAATTTTAATTTTATAGCACCACAGTTACCGGAAAAATTTAAAAAGCAAACTTTAATTTAGGAAGAAAGAAAATGTGAAGAAAAGAAAATATATTTTCTTACTCATAAAACTTCCAATATATATATATATATACACGGAGTATATATTTTTGGCACAATGTCCCAAAATATTATTTAATGTCCTAAAATAAATCAATTTTGGTTTTGGGCGCTTGCACGCTGACGTGGCAAAAGCTATAATAAAATATTTTAAATTTCGTGACAAGACTCTTATTTGACTACGAATTTGACCATTGTCCAATGTCGTGTAACTATAGTGTAAAAGTACAGTTATGCCCTTCAATATTCCCGGGAAGCTCAAACACACCCTTCAATTTTTTGACGGAAAATTTTTATAAACTGATGGAAATATTCCAGTAGTTCTCCGCGCTTTTTGTGTTTTTTTTTTCCCCTTCATTTCCTGCTTATGCAAAAGTTTGATCGAAATCTTTCCTTCTCTTTTTCTCTCGATCCAAACAAAATGCTAAGAGCTCAAACTTTCTAAGTTCCTTTTCCATTTATTTTCCCCTGTTTTCTCGGGAACCAAACAGACCGCTGGCGTCAGGGTCGGGCCTCTTCACTTCTCGTTTTCGTCTCACAAAACTAAGGTATGGTCATGTGTATTTCTAAAGAGTTACATAAAGCAAGTTCAGCTGCAAGCCTGCAACTGCATGTGTGTGTGAATTTATCTTGTTCTTATCGACAGTGAAATGGACAACACTAGTTTTCATTTAATTCAACTTCTGAATTGATACAACGATTTCTAACACTTAGGCACATTTTTTAGCACAAATTTGATGATTATTTACATATATTGTGAAGCACTTATGAATTATTAGCTTCATGTTTTGCTTAAAAATGAAGTTATAGTACTCCATCTTGCCACTAATACATCATTGACAGTTAATTGCACCTTTGTGGTTGATTCGCTGGTATGATTGCTGTGTTTGACTAGGTTTTCCAAGGAGGCACATGTTTAATCTTGGTCTTCCCACCTTGATGTCCCTAATTTTCTTGATTTTTGTTAGTTAGTCTATTGATGGAAATCTTTTCAGAGAACAATTATACTTGTATTAATTAAATAGTTCCACTGGAGTTTTTGGAGTTAGGCTTTGGATCATATACGTTGAACAGAGTAAAGTAAAGAATTGGAGTTCACCAATTAAGGCGGGGCACTCCAACAATCGTATTTCTGTATTGATGCCTGTTAACGCTTGTACTGTTATTTGTATTATTTTTATTTTCATTATTATTTTTTTGCAGTTTTCATGAATTTACCATCTGTTGCAGTTTAATTTTTTTTTGAAATTTGTTGAATTCAAACACTTTTTACAATTCATTTCTCCTGAGGTGGTCTATCCCCATGCGTTAGACAAGTTCATCTAGTCTGTTGTATGATCGGCGTATCCCGTTAAGTTTGAAAGGGAAGTTCTATAGAACAATTATTGGACCAGCCGTTTTTTATGGGACTGTGTTGGGCAGCAAGTAAACAACACATGCATAAAGTGAGGGTGACATAAATGGCAAATGTTAAGATGGATGTGTGGTAAGACAAGAAATGATAAGATCAGAAATGAGCACATTTATGAGATGGTTGGAGTAGCACCAATTGGAGATAAAATGAGAAAAAATCTGTTATGGGTTGGACATGTGCACATTCGGTATTGGGCCATCAATAGCATGACTATACCTTCCTTATTCATTGCAGGTTGGTTATTCGTAAGCACGGTTTTAGCTTACAATGTGTTTGGAATCACTAGTTGTCATAGGTGCGCCTAGGCTCCAAAAAAGCCTTAGGCTTGTCAAGGCTCAGCCAGAGTGCCTCAACTTAGTACAGGCTAGGCCCCTTCAATCAAGTTCACATAAAGCACCCAGGCTCGTGCTTTTTAGTAAGCTCCAGGGTCCAAAAAGGCGTGCCTTTTATTTTTTATTTAATGACTACTACATTAAAATGTTCTTTTTATGATATCATGATCATATTTAATGGATCGTATTGTTTATATGAAATATTTGACAAAATTCATAAATCTATGGTTCACTACTTACATTAGTTGTAGTTAGTGCTTGATTCTGAATATATATGATAGTGTATGTTTAAAATTTGATTGATAATAGTTTTTTATTGTTTCAGATTTTGTAATAGTATTTAATTTTGTTAATGCATATGCATATGAAAGGATTTTTGAGCATTAATTTACCTGATACTCTTAGTTGATATATTAAAAATACCATTTAGTGAATTTTATATTATTTGTGACACATATTTGGAATTGTTCCAGTTGTACATTTATTGAATTTATATGCAAAGAGAAAAGATATATATATGTTAATTTAGCTAATCGATTGAATTGACATACTGAAAAAATTCCTTACTTGATATTGACAAGTTCGTGCTGCATACTTATAGTTAATATGCATTATTATTACACATGTGCCTTACTTCGATCAGGCACATGCCTTATATTGTGCCATGCGCTTAGGCTGCAGAAGACCTTCGCTGCTTTAGTGCGCCTTGAGCCTTTAACAACTACTTTGGAAGCCCTTGGCCAATGGGTATTTCACAGAGAACTGACAAGGAATTCTATTAATAACTGGCTGTTTTTATCCTTTGGAACAACTCAATGAATTTAGTAGATCCTTTTAGGAGGCCCTAGTGACCATAGATCAAACCTATCCAATTTTTACAGTGTGATGTTTGGCGGTTCACGAACTAGCTGTACATACCCTTTCTTTATTCACTTTTAAGTATGCTGGTTAGTAAGAGTGACATGGTCCAGATTGAGGGCAATGCTAGGGGGGGAAGGGAAAGACCAAAGTTAACTTGGGTGGAGTTAGTAAGGAAGGATATGGTAACATATGGTTTGATTGAGACTACGACTTTAAATAGAGCAGAATGAAAATATAGGATTCATGTAGCCGACTCCAAGTAGACTTTGTTGTTGTTGTTGGCTAACACCGTTTTTCTGTCAATCCAAATGAATGCTCTTTTATGCTCAAACTAGTTCTGGGAATGTTGAAGCCAGTAGTTTTTATGTGGTGAAATTGAAATTTGAAACTATATGGTTGAGCTCATCTTCTGAACTCCCTTATTCTAAAGGGACATTCCAAAAATTAGACTCGGGAGCTTTTGGTTCCAATGTGAGAATCTTACCACCAATTGAATGCCCGTCTATGCTCACTGTATACTACTTGTGCCCACTATGTTTGAGCTGACTTAGAATTTGTGAATTGGCACCTGACATACCATTTCTAATTGGCCTATTCGGTCCAGTGTTGTAGCACCTACCATATTTGACTTTGCTAATTGTGCTTTGAGTAAGACATTTATCAAGATATATGAGGTTGATAAGCTTCTTTTATCTTCCTCATTCATAAATTGCTTTAGTTTCTTCTGTTTTCTTAAAACATCAAATCTTTCTATCCTGCAGAGGTTCTTTTTTTTTTTTTCTTTTTTTTTTTTTTTTAAATTTTCTTTACACAACCTTTTGATGGTTATCACTGGGTCTAGGATCTGATGCATTTTTGTTTCTTTTTCAAATTTGGTGGAGAATCTTGTTAGTAAAGTTGATGATTCTCTCTTGCTTCTGAAATTAACTTGTATCTTATATCTGCCCTAATTTTTTGAAACTATATAAAAGATTAAATGCAACTATATTGGTTTGACAATTCTTCATCCAAGTTGAGAAATATAATGGGAAGCCCTAGAAAATATAGCATCACAGTGATCACACTATCGGATCAAATGGCCAATTGAGATTATCTTGTTTAAATTAAAGTCTGTGATTTTGATTTCTGATTGTTGTCTGTATATGATAATAGCTTGACTTGGTTTACCTTTAATTAAGTGGAACTGAAATAGGACGGTCTTTTGTTATCTTGCTATTAGAAGATTGAAAATTGTTGGAGGTGGTGTCATCATGTTATGCAGATGCTAAAAGCTTGTGTAGTAAAATAAACTCTATTGGCTCAGTGAAGATCCATATGGTGCAAACCCCAAAGGCATGGAAGAATTGGCCAAGAACTGCAGTTATAAGGTCGAGGTCTCGAGTTCGATGCCCCTCCCTTAAGGCTAGCCTCACAGCAATTTTCCCTAGATTAAAATTGGCATGTGGCATTAGGGCTTGCCATATGTCTGGAGGGATTAGACTCACCGAAAGGGCGAGAACATTCCCCTAGCTGCCAATAACAGAACTCAGTACCTCTCACACCCAAACCGAGAACCAAATATGATCTATATATGTTCAGTGTATTTTTTTGTCAGCTGCATTTGCAATAACTTGGTGAACTTTGACAGAGCATTTCTATGTTCTACTATCATAGGGTCCAAGAAATACAATGCAATCAAATACAATATTCAGTTGGTCCTATGGACTTTTTACCATGAATATAACTCCAATGAAAAACAACATCCCTAAGCCTCTTTGAGTGTTTTTGGAGCTCTACTTTTGTTTTATGTAGCCTATGGAGTAACTGACTTCACATCCAAGGTAATGAGGTTTGTAGATGAAAGGAACTTGGGTTACTTAGTTAAATTGCTGATTACATGGCTATCTACACACCTAGGATATCAATTGTGCCAACTGACCATTGATGTTCAACATGTCTATACCCTATATGTTGAAGTCATGATAGTCAAACATGATTATAATGTATCAGATTATATTTTTGACCATAAAATGTACGATTGAACAAAAACATAAGTGAAAAACTTTGTTCAATAACAAAATTCTGTGTCCTTTACTCCTTTATCATTGCATGTTGTCTATATGTGCCAACTACATTTTGTTAATAGGGGCTTGAAACGTTACGGGCCTTTTCACGGGCAATGTCGCGACAGTTGTCGAGAATTTGGATAGCTAGATCTTTTTATATTATTTATTTTATTTTTATTTTTATTTTTCCTGTGATTACCTCCATATAGCCACATTCTCCTAGATTTGTTTGCTATCGATACCCTTAGCTCTATTTGTCTTGGATTAGTTTTGGTTGTTCATCATCATCATCATCCTTGCCTTAATCACATACGAAAGTTTAGGTTGTTATTGTGAGTGATTGGTTTGTTAATCATGGATGTATAAACTGGTTGACACTGAATAAATGTCAACATTTTTTAGGTTGTCCAAGCTGGAGGTGACAATAAATTTATAGGTTTTGCTTTTCAAACCAAAAAAAAAAGGTTATAGGTTCAATCCTGGTATGCATAACTGGGTGTTGGTATCCGCTGCTCACTTCTCAAATTTCTGATGAAATTTCTTGTCAGAGAAGATGTACTTATTAGCATTAATTAACATGTTTTGTTGTGGTTTTTAACCAGGCTTTGTGCTATGCTGCTCTAAAGATTTAAAACAGAATCATACAGAGCGATGAAAACTATACAGGTAAATGAATTCTCTTATCTTAATGAACTTACTGGTTTATTCGTGGTTAGCTTATTTTGTTCGATCTTTCAATCTATGATGATGGATCTTGTTAGAACATATATATTTGTATTAACATATTCTGTACCCGAAGCAAGAATTGGACTATTCGACCAAATGCCCAAGCTTCGATGCTTGTTTTGTTCTATTTCTGATCACTGGAGAATCTTGAGATACTTTACTTATGTAACATCAAATCAATATTTCAAATTTTCTTAATTCTTACATACTTTGGATAGTTGTACCATCTTATGCTTCTGATATTTGTGATCAATGTATTTTTAGTAGTTACTAGTGAGATAAAAAAAAGTTTCTGTGGCTAAGCCACCTTGATATCAATATCTGCTGCTTATGTACATCTAATCTGATCGGGTAGAATCTTGTCAGAAAAAAGTATGTATAAATTAAAATTTGTTCCTGGAGTTTCTGAGTTGAATCTGGATCAGATTACTTTTAACAGTTTTGAAATAGAACTAAATAAACCATAACATGCTGGCAAGTAAATTAAAAAAAAACCCTTAATAACTATGATCAATGTATTCGATTAGAGGTATTGGTAAGGTTACAGCACTAATACTAGCTTGCCTGCATTGATATCAACAATTTGCAGCTTATTTATTTAGTTAATGATTTATTAGTGAAGGACACTGTAGAATTGTATATGTCTTGGTTAACGTTTTTCTGCTTATGATTTTAAGTTTGGTTTTGGGTCTGATTACCATAATCAGATGTTCAAAACCAAATAATATTAGAGCACTGTAAACTATGTAGGTGAGTAGATTCGATTATTAAACTCAGGCAATCCAAGTATTGAACTCAGGACCTCACACAGCGAGAATTATGCCATTAGACTAAATACCCAATTGTTGATACTTGTTGCATATTGTTCCTGATCATTGTGTTCGGTTAGATTCACCAGTTGTTTCCAGTGGAGGATCTCAGCATCCTGTTGCCTTGCATAGCTTTGATGCTTCTTGTCTGCTTAATACATAATCATGCTTTGGATGGTTGATATACCTTTGATTTATGTCGTTAGCATGTATTATTAGATTTACTAATTAGATTAGTATCTATCTTTATGTTTCTCTTAATCCAATCAGGTACAATCTTGTCAGAAAAAAAAAGTACTGTGAATACTTAATCAGGTACAATGTAGATGCTTATTCTCTCAACCAAAGCAAGAATCATACCACTAGACCAAATACCCAATTGTTGATGGATTTCACGTTCCATATATGATCAATATGTTTGATAAGCTTGGTGATAAATGCTGTAGAGAAATTTTGCAGTATAATTCATTTGGTAGTTCACATCTCATGATGTATTGTGAATGATTTGTTGAAGTTTTGCTTTCTCATTACCAAGCCCTTGGTTTAGGTGGTGTCTGTCTCACCTCCGCAAAGGAGAGGTTGAGGGTTCAAGCCCCACTTGGGGCAAAAAGTGTTTGTCAGTTTCTTACCTACCACCAAAAAAAAAAAAAAAAAAAATTAAAAAAAAAAGAATAGTTTTGCATTCTCCGTTGTTCTTTCACTTAGCTACATTTGTACTTAGGAGCACAGTTGTTAAAGGCCCAAGGCGCAATAAGGCGCCAAAGCTCTTCTAGAGCCTAAGGGCAAGGTGCAACATAAGGTGCAAGCCTGATTGAAGTAAGGCACGTGTATGATCATAATGCACGTGGATCATAATGCACGTTAATTATAAGTATATACAGAATAATCATATTATGCAACGCATACTTGTCAGTATCAAATAAGGAATTTTTTCAACATATCAATTCAATTAATTAGCTAAATCAACATAGATATATCTTTTCTATTTGCATATGTATTCAATAAAACATATGAATTGCAAATATGCGACATAAATAATAAAAATTTCTTTGAAAATCAGAGCTTTAATGTTCATAAATGATTTCATACGCATATGCATTAACCAAATTAATTTTGATTATAAAAATGAGATAATTAAGAACTGTAATTATGCAAAACTTTAAATATATATTATCATAAATATTCATAATGAAGCACCAAATGAAATTAATGTAAGTAGTGAACCATAAATATATGGATTTTGTCAAATATTTCAAATGTTGGAAAATATGATCCATTAAGTATGATCATGATATGATATATAACATTCTAATTTAGTATTTATTTGATTTAAAAGAAAAATTATATGAATAAATAATTAAAAATAAAAGGCACTTTTTTTTTTTTTTTGGAGCCTGGAACCTACTTAAAAGTGCGAGCCTAAGGGCTTTAAATGAGCTTGACTAAAGGGGCCTGGTTTGTACTAGGTTGAGCTGAGCCTTGACAATGCTTTTTTGAGCCTAGGCGTGCCTTTAACAACTATGAGTTAGGAGCGTCTAGTGTAGTTTGAAAAACCAATTTTCTTTCATTAAGCCTGTGAAACTTTTCTCAAGAAAAACAGCATTTTATTTTCCTAGAAAGCAAAATGCATTTCATATTGTCACCCTATTATCTGAGATTTTTTGTGTATTATGTATGGTCTTTGCAACTAGTGGGGATGCAAGAGATTAGAAGGCATTTGGGTCTCTTGTGTTTGCAGTAGAATGCTTAGACATTATTTTAAAAGTAGAAAGATATATACACGTGAGCATAATTTGTATGTTGGCAACCTGGTAAAAAAGGGGCATTCCGGGAATCGAACTCGGGACCTCTCGCACCCGAAGCGAGAATCATACCACTAGACCAAATGCCCAATTGTTGTTGCTAATTCTCTTCTCTGTTCATTTAAGTATTATTTGACTTACTATGTTGATGAAACTATGAGAACTGAAAACTATGTAGGTGAGTAGATTCAATGATTAAGCTGGTGCATTTTAAGAATTAAACTCAGAACTTCGCGCTCAGCAAACATTTTGCTAGTAGACTGAATGCATTTGATTTCTGATCAAGGTGATTGGTTAGCTTTACCAGTTGTTTTCAGTGGAGGATCTCACAGGCATGGTAACTTTCCTAGCTTTGATACTCCTCAAGCTTAATTCCTACTTGTAGATTGGATAGTTAATAACTTAATATGCCTTTGATATTTCCTATTAAAATATTTTTCTATATAGACTAGTGCGATTACAAATTCTACTAGTATGCCTTTTTCTTTTTAAAATTCAATCAGACAGAATCTTGTCAGAACATTAACATTTTCTCCTGTAGTTTCTGAACTGACATTGGATCAGTTTGCTTTGGTAGCTTTAAAAAAGAATAAAATGGAGCTCTGAAATTGATGTAGATAAGAAAAACCAGTTTTGAACCTTTAATAACTGCATTCAATGTTTGATTAAATTTGCCACTAATGTCATGGTGTTTATAATGTCTTGCCTACCTTGACTTTAGTATCTGCTTCTTATTTATTTTATTTATTAACCATTGACAAAGGATCATGCAAAATTATATTGGTTTTTATTAACATCATCTTGATAATTTTAAGTTGATGCTGGATCATAAAACCATAATTAAATGATAAAAAGAAAATAAAAATAGTGCACTAAAAGTTATATTGTTGAGGAGATCCACAAAATTGTACCACAAGACCAAATGCCCAGTTGGCGATGCATGTTCTTCTATTTACTATCATTACTTTTATAAGATTGACAATACATGCCATTAAAAATCTTTGCTGCATATTGGCTTAATATTCATTTGGTAGTTCATATCTCTTGATATTCTTTTTTTTTTTTTTTTTTGCATTATCCAAAGTGCTTTTACTCAGCTACATTTATACTTGGGATGATCTGATACAATTTGCGATCTGATACAATTTGCAGGCTAGATCCACTTTAATTGTGCATTTTTTATGAAACTTTCTCCACAAAAGCAAAACTCACACCCCCCTCTCTCTCTCCCCCCCCCCCCCCCCCCCCACACACACACACACACACACACACCAAAAAAAAGTCTTAGTTGTGGGGTATTCCGAGAATCGAACTCAAGACCTCTCGCACCCAAAGCGAGAATCATACCACTAGACCAAATGCCCAGTTGCGGACGCATGCCATCTTCTATTAATGATCAATGGTTTGATACAATTGACAATACATGCAATTGAAAATATTTGACTGCACCTGTGGAGTTTTTGATCAATCTTTTCTTCAGAGTAGCAGCATTTTCTTTTCTTAGAAATTAACATGCAGTTCATATTGTTTTCCTGTTCTCTGATATTTTTGGTGTATTATGGTCTCTCCTCCAACGGAAATGCAGGAGATCAAAAAGCATTTGGATCTCTGGCGTATCTTGCATTCCACAAAAGATGTTTGCTGTTACTTTAACATTGTCAGATTACTCCAGTTGTGTTAGAAAGGTATGAATTAGAGCTCTGAAAATGACATAGGTATGAAATTAACTTTTGAACCTTTTAAAAAAAAAACTACTAAAGTTATAGTGTTGCACTGTCATGTTTTAATTTTAACTTGACTTTGGATCAGAATACTGTGGTCAAATGTTAGGAAAAATATTTAAAAAAATAAAAATAGAGCTCTGAAAAATGTTAGGAAAAATATTATAAAAAATAAAAATAGAGCACTGAAAAATATTTAGCTGAGTAGATTCAATGAATACAGTGGGGCATTCCGAGAATCGAACTCGGGACCTCTCGCACCCAAAGCGAGAATCATACCACTAGACCAAATGCCCATTTGTTGATGCATGTCATCTTCTATTTATTATCAATGTGCTTGATAAGATTGATGATACTTGCAATTGAAAATATTTGCAGCATATTGATAGTTCACATCTCATTGATGCATTCTGGGTGATTTTAGGTATGATTTTCATTTTCAATTTCTACTCAGCTACATTTGTACTTAGGATCTAGTAGAATTTGCTGGCTCATTTCAATTAAATATTTGATGAAACTTTTCACGCGATAAGTTGCGTTTTCTTTTTTTAGAAAAAAGAAAAAAATGCTATGTAATCTTTCTCTCTGAATATTTGGTGTATTATAGCCTCTGCACAAGTGTGGATCCAAGTGATTAAAAGGCTTTTAGGTCTCTGGTGTATTGCAAGAAACGGAGCTCTGAAAACTATGCAGGTAAGAAAATTTACTGTTGAACCTTTAATAACTGCTATGAATAAGTTTGACTAAATTTACCAATTATCACTAAGGTTACAGTGCTTATACTGGTTGGCTACCTTCATTTTAATATCTGCTGCCTATTTGTCTATTTTTACCATTCATTGATGAAGGATCATGTAGAATTATAGTGGTCTTAATAAACGTTGTCCTGATAGTTTTAAATTGACTTTAGATCAGATTACAGTGGTCAAGTGTTAAAAAGAAAATAAAACAGGGCACTTAAAGCCATTTGCTAGTTGATAATATTAAGTGGACTTTGGATTAGATAACTATGATCCCCTGTTTAAAAATAAAATACTACAGAAGAATCGAGAACAAAGATGAAAACTATGTAGTTAATAATTTTAAGTTGACTTTGGATCAGATTCCTATAGTATTGTTAATAAATAAATAAATAGTAGAGCATTTAAAACTCTGTAATTGAGTAAATTCAGTGAATTTGGGGCAATCTGAGAATCGAACTCGGGACCTCTCGCACCCAAAGCGAGAATCATACCACTAGACCAAATGCCCAGTTGTTGATCCATGTTATTTTATAATTATGATCAATTTTTTGATACAATTGGCAATAAATGCAACTGAAAATCTTTGACTCTGAACTTTTTGATGAATCTTTTCTTCAGAGGCAGCGTTTTCTTTTCTTAGAAATGGAAATGCAGTTCATATTGTTTTCCTGTTCTCTGAGATTTTTGGTGTATTATGGTCTCTCCTCCAACGGGGCTGCAGGAGATCAAAAAGCATTTGGATCTCTGGTGTATCGGGTGTTCCGCACAAGATATTTAATGTTATTTTAACAGAAAGATTACTTCAGTAATGTTAGAAAGGTATGAATTAGAGCTCTGAAAATGATATATATATATATGGAAAATTACTTTTGGACTTTTAATAAATGCGATCAATATGTTTGATTAAATTTACCATTAAGGTTACAGTATCTACACTGCTGCTTATTTGTTTATTTTACTATTATGTACAATATATTTGTCTTGATTAATATTATGTCCTGGTAATTTGAAGTTGACTTTGTATTAAATTATAGAAAAAATATTCAAAGTAAATAAAAAAATAGAGCACTGAAAACTATGCAGTTGACTAGATTGAATGCATAATGTCTTGGTAATTTGAAGTTGACTTTGGATCAGATTATAGAAAAAATATTCAAATTAAATAAAAAAAATAGAGAACTGATTGAATGCATAAGGAATGGGGCATTCCGAGAATCGAACTCGGGACCTCTCGCACCCAAAGCGAGAATCATACCACTAGACCAAATGCCCAGTTGTTGATGAATACCATCTTTTATTTATAATCAATGTGCTTGATTACATTGATTATACATCCAGCTGAAAATAGTTGCAGCACAATAACTTTATACTCATTTGATAGTTCACATTTCATAATGCATTGCGGATTATTTGAAGTATGATTTGGATTTCCAATGTGATTTTATT